TACACATTCACGAACCATCAGTCCACCCTTTCATTATTGTGTCGTTAGTGTCACACCAAGTTTTGTCCAAATAGAAAATTTGTTACGCAATTCTACTATTCTTCTGCTTTCCATAACTGTTTGACGCTTGTTAATTATTTTAAATCTAAATCCTAGTTTCTTTCTCCAATTCTGTAGAGTTTTGTCACAGCAGCTCACGTTATGGCCGGTAGTATTCAATTTATTCCTTATGATTTCAATGTAGGAATCTCATTGATTTTGTAACAGTTCATTGATTTTGTAACAGTCGTATATTGTTTTTTCAATGATTTTATTAGATGAAGATCTAAAAGTTTTGGTAATCCTGTATCACATCGCGTCTTGCGTCCATAAGGTTTGTTTTTGACTATTTCAGGTACTGTTGCGAAAGGAATTTCGGTCAAATCTGATGTAGCTTGTAATAGTTTGTTTACCTCGAAACCAACATGCAGATTCTTATATACATTGAAATATAGTCTCAGTGTTTCAATATTCAAATGCATCCGAATCTTATTCCCTGGTATATCTTTTTCGCATTGTTCACCATCGCTATTGGAATCACTACACTGGAAAAAGTATGCGTTGTTATCACACTCGTTATTACTATTAGTACTTGTCCAAAGACGCCACATTTTAAATAGATAACAAAAATTTTAAGTAAATATAACTGCACCAATATCGAATTTCAACACTCAAATCGCGATCAGTTCCTGAACTGAACACGACGGCGATAACCAAAGGCCGCATTCCACGATTTCTATTCGTCACCGTAACATGACTTCAAATTCAATTTTATGATTCTTCAGACAATCACAAAACTTGGTTAGTAAAAATTATCCAATACGAAACGCCAGTCCACACATAGAAATGCTGCCGGTTCATTTCTATGTAGGAATCTCATTGATTTTGTAACAGTTCATTGATTTATTACCTTTGAGGGTGCCGACAACTTTAATAGTGTACAATATCGGTTACTTCGACACGTAAAGACTACACTAGATATTTAATTAATAAAAGTAGGTAGGTGGCTGTCTGAACGGATTGCATTTTGTAATTAACGATACTATCATATTATCACAGGATTTTTATTAATAGGTATTACTCTCAGTTATCTATGTTGTAAAACGTTGTACCTTCAGACTCCCCGTGGCCCACGGCGCCCCAGTAAAGGTTCCACGGCGCCCCAGGGCGCCGCGGCGCACACTTTGAGAAACACTGGTGTAAGACATCGACATAACCTTTATATGTCGGTGGTGTAAGAGTCTTACAGTAAGACACAACCCAAGGAATCGCCGCCAGCGGCGCCAGACACTCAGTCTATGCCAACGTTGCTAAGGGTACTCGGCTCATGTAACGCGGTAGATTCAAAATCAAACCTAAATATTTGTTCATTTTTTCAATTTTTATTTTACATTCTTTTGCTTTAATTTTACATTCTTTTGCTTTATATCTGAGCGGGGTACATTTACTTGAGGGGAGCGAGAGGGTGAAATTGAGTTCAAGGGGGGTATAACTACCCCGTACAGGGTAGCTGTGGTAACAGTGTCCAGGTAGACGTATGAGACCGCGGAAGACTACATACGTACAAAAATAAACTTCTTGTTACGCCCATAGAGGAGTGGAATAACATGACCCAGAAATATATTCGAATGCTAATTCCTGGAATGTTTCGGAGCACGAAATCTATTGCCCAAATTAGGAGGCAACACCCAATATCAAAAAACTGGTTTATTGTTTTCTTTTTTGTTATCGTTTAATTGTTAAGTTTTCCATAATTGTAAATAATCAAGAGCACGCAGAGAAAGCGCAATGCTTCATTCAATAATTAATCAATTTGAAACGAATCGTAGGATCAAAAGGGAAGACGAAAAAAAATAGAGAAAATGAACCAACCTTGCAACCGTTGGTTTGTCCTAATCAATGATATAATCTTTAACATAATTATTCATACAGGGTGACCAAAAATATGTAATTTTTTAATTAAATTGATTTATACGCCAAGAAGTATGTATGTAATGTATTCAATACAAAATACATTTTAATTCATGTGTACAGTTTCAGAAAAATTTCAAGATGATTTTGAGCATCATCGAAAATCTGTATTCCACAGCACAGGGTGTCTTAAACCTTCCATATTTGTGAAAGGTGAAATTTTGGTTAAATCAGGAGAAAGTTGAATTTTCGGTGAATGATGAAAATGGTCACGAGACATTTGGACTAGAATATTTGAAAATTCAGTCAATACGAATAAGATCATCCTGAGATCAATTACTTTGAAACCGCATACAATTTCAGAGAGGACGAAAATCTGTATTCCACAGCACAGGGTGTCTTAAACCTGGATAATACTAACATAACTTTGTCTTACCTAGTGTAGTGTGTGTAAATCGGATCTCATTATGAAATATGTTTGATGTGAATAAATATGAGATGAATTTCCACCCATTTTTTAAAAACACTGTCAAAATTGGGCTAAAACTTCAAAATTATACATTCTTCATTGTATTTATTTCTCAAAGCAGTCACCCTTTTATCAAACACGAAGTAATATATTAAAAAAACATTTTATTGCGAGATTTTCACTCGGTTTTACAAAAACGCAATACGTGGCGAAACACGTCTTACGTTTTTGTTAAACTGTTTAGTGAAAATCTCCCAATAAAGTGTTTTTTGAAATCGTTAGTTATGGATTTTTATCAAGTATCGGCCAATTCCATCATATAAACACGAAGTATGACATCCACTGAAATTGAGAGAAGTTTCAGTCAGCTCAAGTTTATTTACAACATTTAAAGTTGACTATGCAATGTTGCGTCTTTTTCTATCGTACGGGACAGGGTACTGGACATCTCTGGCGTACATCTCCACTCGCATCATTTTTGCATTTTAAAGCTCGCCAATCGTCTCTCAGGTCAAAGTTGTCACAGAAAACCATTTCTATAATCATCGTGTTCACAATGAAACAGCGAATATTTTGATATTTGTTTATTAAACAGATGGGTGTAAATTACTAGTATCGCCTTACCTGGCTACACATGTCAACCCAGTAGTTACGCCAGTAAAAATAGCCAACCCAAAGTTTGCATGATATGTTCAATTGGTTCCACACTTTCGATTGGTACAAAATATAATCAATGTATATCTAACACAAATGTTCAAAAACGTCAGTTTTGAATTTTCAAGTTATTGTAGTCTACACAGGTAACCCATTCGCGATTTATTTTTTAACATACTTTACTACATTTTTATAAAATAGTGGGCTGTTCAAAACATCAAATTTTGTGTGAAAAATGGAATTATTTAGGTGTTCAAAAACACTGAAATGTTGACAGTGACATATGGTGATTACACTCAGCCATAAAAATGTTTACAAGAATTTACAGAAGCTCCAGAAGATGTGAATGACGACGCTCCTCCTGAACGACCCAGAACATCAACAACCGATGATAATGTTGAGAAAGTGAAGGAAAAAATGTTCTGGAAAATTGTCAAATCACTATTGGAGAAGTTGCTGAGGATGTCGGCATATCATCTACTCACCTTTACTCACATTCCTTCTGCGTAATTTTTTGGCCAACAACAACCACAATATTCACCAGACTTGTCACCCTGCGACTTTTTCCTGTTCCCAAGATTCAAGAAAACCATGAGAGAACAACGTTTCGCGACGACTGAGAAGATAAAAACCGAATCGCTGAGAAAGCTCGAGGACATACCAAGAAGTGCATATAAGAACTGCTACGAGGATTGGAAAAAACGCTGGCACAAGGGTATGATATCCGACGGGGAATGATTTGAAGGGGACAGAATATAATACATATTTTTTGAGAAAGATTTAAATTCACCTTATTTTTTGAACAGAATTTTCATCCTTTGAACAGAATAGTGATCTGCGTTTCTTATTGGGATTTTAGAAAATAACAGAAAACGCTCTATATGAAACATTTTGTAACACTAAAATAACACGAATTTACCAACAAAATTTCTTTTGATGTTCTCATGTTTGATGTCTTGACATCTGTTTTATTAACGAACTGAGTAAGTAAGGATATTTCCGTCACTAAATTCTCAGAGTATTCTTTGAAGTTTTAACTATCTCAGTTATTAATGTCAATGCATTTTGTTGCTCTCTCTACTATTGTTGTCTAAGTTGTTGATGGAATCATCAGAGTAATGGGAATTTTAAACTTTTGAACTTGGTGCATTTAGAGGTACATTATGACATTAAGAAAATCTTAAATTTCTCTCACTTTCTATTTCCAATATGATAATGTGTCATGAACTAAATTATAATAATAATTCCTGATTCGACAAATTCAGTAGAAGTGGCCCCACTACTCTATTTTATTTTAATTTGATGTAATCTGCAATTGAATAACTTAATATTTGTGATTTTGGGATAACTGACCGAAGACAATAAATTAACCAAATGGACATATTCAATGTCCACTTGACAGATACGTACAGAAAGGTGATTATTCAATTATATTTATTACCGATTCGATATTAGTGAAAGGTGAAATTTTGGTTAAATCAGGAGAAAGTTGAATTTTCGGTGAATGATGAAAATGGTCATGAGACATTTGGACTAGAATATTTGAAAATTCAGTCAATACGAATAAGATCATCCTGAGATCAATTACTTTGAAACCGCATACAATTTCAGAGAGGAGGAATTTCAGAACTTTCTCAACGTTAGTCAGGTAAATGCGCAACTTTGTCCCAATTCAACCATCTTCGTATCTCTCATAGTTTCTGAAATCCCAATGGTGAGGATCGAATTTGAAACATCCTATATAGATCAGAAGCCAGAATAACAGATTTAGACTTTTGTCAGTTGTAACTCAATTATACTCTGGGAAAATTTCAGAAATATTAGAAGTTTTGTGTCATGAGTTATAGTAAGTGTGCAGTCTGCAAAATCAACTAAAGCTACTGTTCAATGTGGAAGTGCATCTGCCTACAAGGCCTACAACTGCCAAACAAAACTTACCAGCTCTAGCGCTAAGGATTCCTGGCAAAATGAAAGGAAAAACAATAATGATTATTTAAAAAACATTGGATATCAATAAAAAAATGATTCAAAAATTTGTTTACGATCATTCCAACAATATATTATATGTGCACCAATACAAAATTTAATATTTGTAAATGTGAATGTATATTATGTCATATGTGAAGAAAGTAAGTTTTCTGCAGGGGATCTCGTAAACAGTACGGAATGGAAATATATGGTTAAATTATGGCAAAGTTCTTTATTTTGGATACTATTGAATGGAAAATAGACTCGGCATTTTTGGTTCCGGAAATATACGAAAAAAAAACAAAAAATCAAATTTCTATTTCTTTGCTGTATTCTTTATTTGGAGTAATATTGAAAATCAGTTTACACTTACCCATAACAACTTTCATTAGGCCATCAGAGTTTAAGAGTAGAATTTTTATAAAGGATGTCGTCCGACTTGCTCAACTTTGAAATTTTAAACGCGGATCTGTACTTTTCGTAACAATGTTTTCATTGGTAATGTTCATACAATATAGTGAAATTGAGGTATTTTCGATATTCCTGAGTATTTCAGTGATTTGATGATTATCAAACAAATTAGGAAAAGAGCTTTTTGCTTTATATTTCTATCTTCACACGAAAAATCTGGGAAACTTTCGAAGAAAGAAAGAGAGCAACTAAGTTCAAAAGATGTGTAAATTGTGCATAGAAGTTTCTTTCTGATACAAACTAGAAGAAAAGTATTCCCATAAATTATTCTATCCTAAAAATATTCCCCTTTCAATTCAATCAAATACATCATAATTATTTTTATTACGGCCCTGATAATCGATTAAATTAAAAGCAATTGTTACTGTCATCATGTGAAACTACTTCAATAATTTTCCCACATCATACAACTTCCACCAGGTCAAGAAAATCCCTAAACTATATCCCTTTCTCATTAATGCTCGTCAATTAATAATAATTGAGTGAATAATAATAGTCAATTCATGATGAAAATAGACAAATAAGCTGGTTAGGAACTTAAATTTTAGATGAATTCATCAAATCAAAGTTCATAATATGAAGTTCCCGAGAGAAATTGAATATTCCAGAAACCAATGAAAGAAATCAGGGAACTTTTTAGTTTCGAAGACACTGAAAGAATTAAATTAGGCATCTTTTATTTCGGTGAATTTTTCGAGTACCATTCAAAATTTCCCAGGAACTTCGTACAAGCTGCAACTTAGAAAAGATAAACCTTTCACAGAATGAAATCACTGTCAGCTCATTTGTCTAAACACTGGTTCAAATGTTTCAATTATCGAAACCAGAGTTCAGAAATGAAGCAACCGTGATTCAAACTGTCATAGGTCTCATTAGCATGAAATGTACTGTGGGATTCAACCGTATTTAAAAAGCAAGCCTGGGTATAACTAACCATAGGCATCTCCCCTTATGAAGATACTATCTTTTTTAGCTGAAATAAATCGTCTTCATAAGGACAGCCTTATACTCAGTCTTGTCCTTCAAAGACAATTGAGTACAACACTGCTTTCGTGGTTTAGCCTAGCATCACCAATGGGACTTAGAGCAGATCGACACAACGTTGTTATTAGACTCTGCATAGTTTGAACCTTCGAAAAAAAATAATGAAAAAGTGTGAACTAGTGTTCAACAAAAATGAGTTAGCTTTTATTTTGTTCTGAAAATGGATACATAGTTTTTCCTAATTTGACGCTTGTACGAAATTTCTGAAAATTTTGAATGTTACTGGGTCAATTCAACGAAGTAAACGATACCAGTAGAAGCACATACATGAGTTCATTTCTTCCATATCGTCGAAATTGTTATTAGTTTCTGGAATATGCAACGTCTCTCAGTAACTTCATATGACCATGCGCCAAATACAGCAAGAAAATGGTAAAAAAGGGAGCGGACATATATCTCCGGAACCAGTACTATGCTTTATTTCCGTCCAAACACGGCGTACACGCCATGTTAGTTACTACCATTTTGAATAAATCAGTAATTTTTTATTATGACAAATTTATTCTTATTTTCGTTCCGATACCAGATAGATGAATTTTTTAAAACAAAAACATATATTTTTCTTTACGGGTTTACTCCTGATCAAACACAAAAAAGACAAAATAGGGCTTGGACATAAAATGTTAATTTTTTTTCTTGAACCTTTGAAAGTTGTGCGACGTGGGAGTATCTCAATGAAATCTTACAGGTTTGTTACATTTCAGTTACTGCATAATAAAACTGAGAACTGGTTACATTCAAGCTATTATTAGGGCTATATTGAAAAAATACAATTTTATTTAATGATCATTGAAACTCTGGAGACTCTCCAAAAATACCTTGATTATTATATGGACATTATAAAAAAATTGCAACAAAAAATACAGATACGTATTGAAAATTTCAAACTTGACGGTGTCCACCAAGTCGGATGACATCATGTATGAAAATTCAATGACACATACTATTCTGATAGTTTAATGAAAGTTGTCGCCGCAAATTAAAAAAAATCCTATATTTCTGCTAATAAAGAAGATATAGCTAAAAATACGAATCCGAAATTTTCGGGTTTTCCCCTTTATTAGTCCGGAACCAAAAAAGCTAGGTTCGAATCGACCATTTATACCAAAAAATACTTGAATAAGAACAGGCATGCGTATTCTACAACTGTATAATGAAAAAAAGAGCAATAAAACAATAATAACTGAACACGTGAGGCATTCAAGATCGTAGTCTGACTAAAAGTTGGATACTAAAATGATACAATGGACACACGAACCAAAAATTTTTTTTTTTGACGAGTGGTCTATAGGCCTTTTCCAAATCAAATGTAATTGCGAATTACTCAGATACGTAATTGTTGGTTTCAGACACCGATGAATCGATGAGAAAAAACATTTACATCATTTCATAGTTTTTTATAGCTTTGGAGATATTTCTATTAATAATTACATAACTACTACTATTTTGAAAAAGGTTCTACGAAAAATCTTCGAAACTTACATTTTTTCATACTGTCAATACTTCATAGACATTTTGAATATTATTTTCAAATTTATACTGAGAAATAAAAGAAACACTCGAAATCGTTGGGCCTTTTCCAGAGATGCAGTTTACGATGAAATAAAGGTCTAAAAGAAAACTGAGCAGACTAGAATTCGAACACGATTATTTTGAATTTCAAACGGGATATATTTTGGATTTTAAAATAAATTCATTGATAATGCGAAAACATCGTGGATAATGATAATTTAATTTAATGAAGCTAATTACGTATGGATTCCGTGCTATGAAACGCTCGGTAAGAGGTGATTTCTCCATAACCCTTAGCTCAACTTCTGACGAGGGCTGTCGTTCTGAAGAGGGCAACAACTAGTTGACATTTTTCAAATTGCTTCTTCAAATTAAAATTATATGACCGTATCGAACGACCATTGAATTCATGCAACATTTTTTGGATATCAGATTGAATTTGACAATGGAGTATCTTTTTGAACTTTTATTCAAAGCATTACTAAAATCAAATATAAAATCTAGAAATCCCAGCTGATATCTTGATTTCTCAAATGAAATTAACAAATCCTGGATAAAATTCTAGCAAGTGTTCAATTGAAAAACCCTGTTTGAAAACCTTCGTGTATATTATGAAAAAAAAATATAAACTGACAATTTCAATTTAAAAATAACACAAGGGAACAAAATTCAACAATCTTTTTGTTGCATGAAATTTTATAGCAATTGTTTACTGATTTTTAAATATATTCTCCGTTGTTTTCTGGGAGCTCTATTTTTTGAGATACAATTACTAGTCGTGTTTCAGTATTATTCTGAGTAGACATTCATTCCAGAACGTGTGTTTTTTTTGATAACTTGTACAATATCTACATCAAAAGAGAAACGACTGAGAAATGTTGATCAAGTTTGTTCCAGTTCGTAAAACTAGCGTATGTCTAGTACCACTACTTGGAATTTACTTTGGTGACCTGTGACAAGGATTGGGTTCCTAATATAATGGAAAATAAAGGGTCCAATTTCAAGTATCTGTTACGGGGGCAATTCCAATATGAATCTTCATCTACAATGAGATGAAAATGATTCTATAAATATCTGACATTATGCTGCATTATTGTTTCTTGACCAAAACCAGCCTGCTCACTCAGTGGTGTGGGCGTGGGAACTCAAAAGAAAAGAAATGTTATATAAAATAAAGGGGCGCCACCCGTTTAATACGGTTTTGTGTTGCCAAGAAACTTACTTAAACGGGAAAGAAATATAATCGACAATTATAAATAACAACCGATCATAAATAATCAACACTTAATGTCCAATAAAAAGAATTGATTTACTAGATATCCCTTAACCAATACAAGTTATCAACTATGGTTGATAACTGACAACATATCGTTCATATATGAATCTCCAAATATAGCTATAATTGGCTCACAAAATAAAACTATTATTATTATGACATAAGAAAATATGGTCTCATATATTCAGGTGAAAATAAAATGTTTATAATTAAGGAAGAGCCTGCACTGGTATTTCTTGGTTTTTGCAGTATCGTAGCAGCAATCCCAGCGGTAGAAATTATAGATAAACAATGAAGAAATACTCGCTTACCGGACGTATCCTTCTTGCAATATTGTATAAAAAAAAATAGACCAAATAGTCCTCACGAATACCGATCCTACGACAATACTTCGGATCTTAGCTTGGCGGGACTTGAGGACTTTTCCTATTTCACCCAGACAATCTATCGTCGAGCAATAAATCGAAAGTGATCTGTGGTGCATTCAAGGAAATGAAAAATCCAAAACTGGCACCCTAAAAATTATACCATTCGAATCTTAGCATATAACACAACAAGGGAGATGAATAGTTATTTTCAATGTTTGTTTTTGCCTCACCTCAATATTAGAGGGTTCATTTACTCAATAGTAGGTTTCCAAAAGAAAATGATAAGACACAAAATTTCCTTCAGTAGAGTTCAGTTCATAAATCCATAGAAGCAGAAGATTTCAGGATTGGTATCAATTGGAGCATCAAACTAATTCCTATATGATGATTTATATCTGCAATAATCCTCAAATCGATAAAACTTTATAACAATACCAAGTCGCTGATCTCCAGTACACTCGCTTACTGACTGAATGTCCTATTTTCACTGTGCACCGAGAATTCCAAAATTCGAGGGACGAATGATCAACAAACCTATTTGAAAAAAACTTAATATTTGCTGGAAGGATTCGAGGAAACGAGAGACGACACTTGATCGTTTCTCTGTCTTTGTTGAATTCGCACCTTTCATTCGAAGGAATAGGGTAGGCGTAGCGCGGGCATAGATTGTATTCGATAGTTCGCACGGAGACCAATGAATAATATACCGAGATTTATAATTATATTTTTGAAAAAGAAATTATTGAATGATAGGGAAATTTCATTAACTTCAGTTATACCAACGTTCGGAAATAAGTTGCTTGTTATTAGGAATTCAACTAACTATAATAAGACTACTGGGAAAATGAACTGTAACATATCAAACAATAATCGTGTTGGTTGTTATTTTTTCGTTGTCGCCAGAACCGCAAGCACCTATACACCTAGATGAAATTTTGACGGTGGATCAGCCGACTTCCGATTGATTTTTTTTTATCATAGCTAGTCCATCACGATATGCGATTTAAGCTTCACGTTTCAAAAAAAACGGTTAAGCCAGAAATAAGAATTTCTCACTATGTTAACGCAGAGATGGAGATGGAGAGAGAGAGAGAGAGAGAGACATACTTGCTTGCAAGATAAGTTATATCCAAATGAATGGCCTTCATTTATAAATTCGTGGGAAAAATATTTTTGGATTTATACAAAAAATTGTATAGACTTTTTCCCAACAACCAATATCTTCTAAAAATACCCCTTTCAGTTTATAAATTGTTTAAAATGTAGCTTGAAATGTGTATTTATGCATGAATTGGGTTCGTTGCCGATTGCCCCTTCAACTAAGGTTGAAAAACAATATTCTAATATCCTCGGTTAATATCCTCGGTTATGAATAAAATAAACAACAGATAACAACAGTGGCTCATTCGTGATGATCTCAAACTTGAATTTCTTTCAAGGACAAAAAAGAGGCAACACAAATACTCTGGGTTTCATTTATTTATGGGGCATCAGGGCTCAATCCTAGCACTAGATTGAAAGGCTGGGCTACAAGGAATCCCATGATCCCAAGAAAGCTGTTTCGCTCGTTCCTATGGAACGCATAAATAAGGATACAAATTGTTTATTTTTTTGTTGTGCGTCAATTGCATCTTCTGCTTCGGTCATTAGTCTCGTGTTCTGTCAATACTTATATTAGCGGTCCTTCAGCAATGTGAAGTTACGGAACCATCTCAATGTTCCAGACTGTCGAGGTTGCCAGTGATGTTCGTGTCTCCAATCAGGTGGATGGCTCTTTTCTGGATGGAATCCAGCAGCTTCAGGGTATACTTAGGGGCAATAAAAGTTGCTATGTACAGTTTTCTGGTTTGGAACAGTGTTCCAAGCTTTTGTTACATTTTATCTGTACCACTTCAGACAAATACTGATAATTATTGTGTGTTTGATATGTTAATATATTCAAAGAGGGAGACGTTACAATGAAGGTGTAAAAAAAAATTAAACATAAACAATTGTATATATGACTAACAAGATAAAGGCGTTACCATCTGTTACATCATGAGCTGTAACATAATGAATTTATCACTCACATCATGAGTACCGTACTGCTGTGATGATATACCTACATCACATGTGTGGTAAAGCTAATATAAGTATTGTATCATATCACAATTGAAAGTGTATATCGAGAAATTGTTCTCTTGGCCATGTTGTTCAGATAAAATCTTTATCATAAGCTCATGGATCACGATTTAATGGTTGAGATGAATTGTAGCTTTCACAGAATACAGATCATTTATCATCATCCACAATACTTTCATGATAAACGGAATGAAGTACTTGAGAAACATATCAATTTTCATTGAAGTATGAGTGCCTGTAAGCTACTAAAGTGACATTCCGAATGATTCAAAGTGAAAAGTATTCATGATTTGATTTATGAAATTCTTGTTGAAAAACATTATGTATTAATTTAACGACTAATTAAAACACGATTAAGTTTACGTTGCGGCCAACTCAACTGATGTACTATTGAATAACCAAATTGGAATGCGACTTTCACATGCGGTGAAAGATGAACTCAAAATGTTGAGAGTATAGTAATAACGGTGTTCGCTGGCAAATAAATGCACTGACGTGATAAAGTGAATATACAGAGCTACTCAAATTTGAATATCTGCAAAAGAATTTCGTAAACGGTAAGAGACATAAAAAGCCGTTATGGAAAAGTTGCCAAAGTTGGAATATCAATGAATGAATGATACAGAAACCAAACCCACTCTTTTCTGGTTCCGGAGATACACTGCCGGGCATAAAATTAGAGTCATCCCATGAGTTGAAATTACCTTAGAAATTTATGTTTTCATTTGAGTTATTTTGGATGTACCTTGGTGTACTAATGAATTGCTTGAAAAACAAAGTTGTTGTTGTTTTGGCCACAAGCGTTTGACAAAAACGAGCTCTCGCCTGAATTCCTGAAAACCATAATTAGTATACCTTTTTCCTATAGTTTTATCTGTCAAGTGTCTTTTGTGTACTATTGTCAATGTTGGTGTATTGAAATGGACATAAATTCTATTGTTGCGGCAAAAATCGAGGCAGGACTACAATAACTAGGGATAACCGCTTTCTCGTATCTAGTGCTTTAAGAAACCGAACAGTTACGGCAGTTTCCTTTTGAAGTCGTCTGCAAGAAGTCAGAAATATAAACATAAGTGAGTGTACAGTTAGGAGACGGCTCGTGCTGCTGGGTTATCTTCTTGAACTAGAGTTACTGGACCACCGCTTTCCCATGAATATCAGATTCAAGATTGAATTTTTCAAGAGAACACTTGTATTGGATAGGAGCGGATTGGAGGCGTGTATTGTTTTCCGATGAATCGCGATTTGGCCTTACGGGCTCAAATAGACGTGTACGAGTATGGAGAAGATAAGGCGAGAGATATGCTCAGACATGTATTGCCGATTGACTCACATTTGATGGTGAATCAGTTATGTCATGGGAAAGCATATCTTTTGACGCTCGCACGGAGTTAATCATCGAGAATGGGACATACATGCCTTTTCCTGAAGACGGCGCAACATTTATACATGACAATGTACGCACTCACACTCCATTGAACATGTTTGGGGATGAGCTTGATAATATTTTAGGGAGACATGTGCCGGCTTCCAGAAACTCTAGAGAGCTACACGACATACTGGTACATGGATAGGAAAGTCGTCCGCAGAATGTAATCTAAAATGTTATCCAAAGTATTCTTCATCGTTTGCAAGCTGTTATTGCAAGAGGAGGAAAGACTCGTTACTGAAGCTCTTAAATTTTTTTCTTTTTCAATCAAATGCATATCAGAGTAAAATTGTTCATTTCTCATTTCCTAGCATACTGGTAAATGTGTGGGAGGTATTAGATCTTTCTAATACCGAAAAAATCAAGAAATATTTGAAATAACTTCAAATTACGGAATGACCCTAATTATTCCCGGCAGTGTTTATGAGAAAAACCTAAAAATTTCGAAATTATACTGTTGACAATATTTTCATTATTCGTAGATATATTGAAAATAGTTTCAAACATTGCCACATGAGTTTTCAATGAGCTATCAGCATATGTTCAAAGAATTTTTATATCGCATCTCGTCCAACTTATGTCCAACCTACGGATTTATATTTTTCAAATGTAATTTTCAAATTATAAAATTTATATTTCATCCTTATTGANTCACATTCTATACGTTTTATAACTCAAGTAAGGACAAAAATTTTTTCATTATCTTGATGTTGCAAAATTTAATTTTTCAAAAAATAATTAAAAATAGTCTGTCCAGGATTTTTTTAGCTTAGCAAACCCATTTTCAATATTTTTTTTTTAATATACTAAATTCATTATAAAATATATTTCATTCTATTATCAGCTCGGTGAAGGTTGATTTAGGTTTGGATCTTAGACTAATTGTGAAAATCGCAGTTAGTATTGAAAACTTACTTGTTGAAATTACTAAGTTATTTGAACTAATTTTAAAATCCCAATCATATCGGTTTATCGAAAAGTCTTTTGAAAATTTATCATCACTTCCTCGCTGGAGGTGAGAAAGTGATGGAAGATTTGGACACTTCAGTGGTTTATACGAGTATTATGTATTATGCAGTAAGTTTCCTGGGTGAAATTTTCAGTTTGCTCTCTATTACACTTCAGATGATTCTGAATTAATTTAGATTTGTTCATTTTTCCGATCTATGAAAATGTTGTCTCTCGACGCGCGTTTCGCATATCAAATGAGCATCATCAGGAGATGCTCACTTCTTAATACTCAGTTTTGATTGGTTGATTTCCATTCGTTCGAGGGTCTGATTAGGCCAAGAAGCCACTGCCGTTTTATGTTCAACTATAAAGTCAAAATTGAAAATATAAATACTGTCGTTAAAGTTCCAGGAAGTGAGACTGTTTAATTAAATTTCCTGCTCTTGATGGATATGTCAAATATTTTTAGTAATAAATTTTTTTACTTAATTCTCTGTAACTTCCGCAATTTTTGCCGGCTCTTCTCCAAAAGTTTCATGAAGTATTTAGATAATTCCGAATCGAATGACAGTTTGATCATCATTAGGTCAGGATTTCGATAAAATGTCATTTATGAGAACCTGAGTTCGAGCCATTCGCATTACACTTGACTTGTGTGCATACAGGAGATATCACTCTAACCTACAGCCCATTTTATCATTAACCGATTCAAGGGAAATGACGGAATGACGCGAATATACGACTCCCACCACTTCTACCTGAAATGCTAGAATCAATATTTACCTTGAACTCCACCTTTATCCAAAAAGTTGCTCAGTTGAAACGTACTATTGCTGGACGCCAGAAATTGTGTGAATCTCTGAAACGAAAAATATAATTCAATTTACGGGTAGCACTGTCAGATACACACGAACGGGAATCAAAGGCGAAGTTAACAAATTGATAAATTAATGAATGCTAAATTCAATTGCTTGTGAAAAGTGCAGGAATAATAAAACGCCAAAAAAGCCACTAAACCAAAAGTGGAGTAAACTTTTTTCAGAATTATCTACTAATTGTAGCCATGCATATAATTTTCTCGCATTTTATCAGAGATTTCTGAAATGTTGTAGCACATGCGATATTATTTGAGTCTATTGCATGAGTATGATTAAATAAATGCTGCAATCACAACCGACGCTGTATCACCATAATAATTCGAAATATCTCAACAAGTTTAAACAAATGAAAATAAGTATTCTAGGTAAATAACAAACTTTCTTTTTTGTCTCTAGGTTATACTGTTATCACTAGTTTATTACAGTCGTGATCAAAGTTGTTCGAAGTTTAACTAAAATACAACAGTCTATACAACTGTTTAATTATCATGAAATTAAATTTCATGTTTCAAGTTAATACAAGGAAACATTAACAGTTTTTCAGAAACTTTATTTTCAAACCTGATTCTACGAAAAAAAAATCCATCCTTCTTCATCCCAATGCATCAAAAGTGATAATTTTTTCATTAAAAGAAATAGCTATTTATGATATTAGTGTTGAAAGTAAGGTTTTATTTTTTCTGTGAAAAAATTTGCGAAACGAGCGTAGCGAGTAGAGCAATTTCACGAACCAAATAAAACTTACTTTCAACACAAATATCATACAAAGTTTTTTGTACAATAGATACATTTAATATTTCTATAAAAACACATTTTGACATCTCTTGTCAGTTAACTATTTTCATGTTATCGCATTTGTTATGAAGTGGCCGTGTCAGGTGACGCCGAATCACCTGGTTACCAACAAACACTATTGTTTACAGCTCACGCGTTTTATTT